CTTTTTTTTTTAAGGTAATTTTTGCGAGAGAAACAAAGTGACTTCCCCTTCAGTGCACCTGTGATGAAGACATTTTACATACATCTGCATACAAAAAAGACAATCCAACAATTTGCATTTTCAGCTCGATGAGCAGGTAATAAATCTCGAGGAGAAATATCCATACAAGCAGCCACATTAAATCAACATTCACGTTCAGTTCTGCTCCGTGCGAACAGCTTTTTCATCAAATTCTTTCCAAATCACAGCGGTGCTCCATCATCTCCCATTTCCCGCGTCGACATTCAGTATCTCTGATTGTTTTTCCATACATCACTTGCTCACCACCGCCCTCATCATGATCCCCTTTTATTAGCATATAAGAAGTGTGAACACATTTTCGTGGCCTCATCTCGCACTAACTAGCATGCACAGAATAGTCGGACCTGTTGCTCTAATTGCTTTTGTATTTTTTGCAAGATAAGAACAAGCTAGAAACCGATGCATGTAAATTACTGTAATTGGAGTTGAGAGAACACTGAAAGATGATCAAACACAAAAGCACATTGCTGCTCTTCTTCACAACCAATAATGGCAGACTAACTAATGCATGGGTCTGCTGTGCTTAGTGGTATCTACTGTGGCTCCATGCTTTCGTGACAAACTTAAATATTGGCCAACTTGCCAGTGAGATGTGTCTCCTGCTGTCCAGTGTGTGGGCTGTGTACCACCACGCAGGGAAAGACTCCTGCCAACTAACAAATGTCCCTCTTTATGTCTGGAGTATTCCGCTTTTATTACTCGCCGATTGCCTTCCCCTGCCCCTTAATCAAATCTCCTCTGAATGAGTTGAAATTCAGCACTTCTAATCGCACATGCATACATGTCCACACTCATCTAGCTTCCACACATTCAGCTTAAAGCTCCGACGGAGTGCTTCACAGATGCCGCATGCGGGTTTCTTGCAATTTAACTGATTATCTGGAAAAATCAGTATCCTGCTGTGATAATGTGAATCTGATGAAGCTCCTCAGTCAAACCTCTCCGTCTGACCTTGTGTCGCATCTTTCAGGTGCGAAGAGAAGCCGAAACTCTGCTAACGGACAAATGAGAGTCCACACCGGAGAATGCGGACGTGAACTTGCCCTGACGCCATTACCGAGGCGATTTACGCATCCTAATGCAACCAAATGAGAATTCATTTTAGCTGCAGGCCACTGAGCTATTAGCGTATAATGCGGTTCAGATAAGTCACAGGCAGGCAGGAACGGAACAGCTTCCAAACCACATGACCACCCAATTAAGAGCCTATTGTTGACATTCACAAAGGGATAAGTACTGTTCTGCCCACACAGAAATGCAGTGCTTAAGTATGAAAGTAGTATTGCATAGTGATAACCTGGCACACCAGATCTACCACTGAGAGTGCTGAAAATTGGCATTAAACTATTCCCATGCAACCCTGTGAACTAAAATCCATGATCTGCACACCCAAACAGGTGGCTTCACTTATTCTGGCTGAAGAAACTTCTTGAAAGCGAGCTTCAGTGGGAATGATTTGAGGTTAACAGACTCCATAGACGGTGATGAAGATGGAATTTGGCCTAACAGGTGCAGCAGTGTTAACAGGAGGATCAGGGAGATGCAGATCAACCATAGACTGTATAAGGGGACGACTAATCAGAACGGGGACTTGAAATCCTGACCTCAAGGAGAACAAAAATTAAGACATCAAGCAAATGTCTTCAGTGACTTCAACTGGAAGGAAGTGAAAGAACACAAGAACACCCAAACTCAGTGGATGGGTCAAAATCAGGAGGGACACTGGTTCTGTTGAATACTCAATAGCAAAGATGAAAACCACAAAAGAGAAAATCAAGCAGGTCTGGGATAATGTCCTCCTATATAGTAAGAGTTGATTGGGGCGGGGTCAAGATGAGAAGCCTTTGGGTCGCGGTGGGAGATGATTTGGGTGCCATGTTCAGTTATAACTTTTTGTTGTGACGTTAGTAAAAGTGGACTCATAGAGAACAGTTTTTAAGTAATTTACAGCTTTGCACAAAGTTCTCCTGTTTTGTGAAATGACAGATAGTAACTAACTAACTAACTAACTAACTAACTAAATAGCTAACTAGCTAAATAACTAAATAAATAAACAAAATTTAAAAATATAATATTAATTTATTTTACAATGTTTAACAAGTAAAAGTACACTATTTTACTGTATTTAATTATGCCTAAAAATATAATTTTACTGATAATCAGTCTATTTCACAATTTGTTACACATTTTTAATGTTTTTTTTTCAAATGTAGAAACAGTTTAGATTATTTAGCTGCAAATCATCCTGATTTTTTATTTATTTATTTTTTTTAACCATCACATTTAGAAAAAAAAAACCTTTCAATTTGTTTTTACTTTTTTGTGCATCTGTGTACTTCTTTCTTGGATTGCTCAGTAATGTCCTCTTTTTCTTGAGTTTATAGGTTTGGAAAAGGGGAAGAAATTATAATACAAATAAAAGAATCGTGCATTGATTCATTGAAAAAAACAAAAAAAACAATCTA